CGTTAGAGAGAGCGCGTTTCATCGGCTCTTGCCTTGGGAAAACTCGGCGGCGCGTTTCGAACTGGGGGGGCCCCCCCCCCAACATTCGGCACCGTCGATCAGAACCAGGGGGACCCCCCTCCCCCCGAACCCCCGGGGGTCAAAACCACCCCCCCTTCAGCGCCGGCGCCGGCGTCGGCGGCGCTGGCGGCGGCCAGCAGCGTCGACGGCGGGGACGCAGCGACGATGACCAAAGAGAGCCCGGGGGGGGGTCCAAACCCCCCCACCCACCCGCGCCAGCGCCGGCGCCGGCGCTGGCAGCCGACGGCGGGGACGCAGCGACGATGACCAGAGAGGGCCCAGAGGCCGCAGAGGGGAAACACAAATCGCCATATCGAGCCCGCGCCTCCCGAAAGCCACCGAGAGGCCCTTTGGAAGGTCCAGGAGGTTTCACAGATGCGCCTCAGACGCCCCCGAGACCCCTCTGACAAGACCTCAAGAGGCATTCATTAGAACTCTGACCCAAACCCAAAACACTGTGGCGGGAAGACCCGAGTGCCACACCACCACCACCACCACACACCACCACACCACCACCACCGCCACCACCGCCACCACCACAACCCACCACCACAACCACCACAACCCACCACAACCCACCACCACCACAACCACCACCATCACCACAAACCACTACACCACCACTACCACCAGAAACGCCACCAACACCACCAGCACCACACCCAACCACAACACCTCACAACCACCACCACCACCACCACAAACCACCACACCACAACCACCTCCATCACCACCACCGCTACCACCACCACCACCACCACCACAACCCACCACCACAACCACAACCACCACAAACCACAACAACACCACCACAACCACAGCCACCACCACCACTACCAGCAGCACAGCCAGCCACCACCTCACCAGCACAAACCACCACCGCCACCACCACCACAAACCACCATACAAGCACCACCACCACCATAACCACAACCCACCACACCAGCACCACCACAACCACCGCCACAACCACCACCTCACCACCAGAACAACCTGCCACCACCACCACCACCGCCACCACCACCACCACCACCCACCCACCACCTACCACCAGCACCACCACCAGCACCACCAGCACCGCAACCACCAACACCACAGCCCACCACCACCACCACCACAAACCGTCACGCCATCACCACCACAAACACCACTACCACCACCACCACCACCACCACCACCACAACCAAAACCCAGCACCACCACCATCACAAACCACAACTACCACCACCACCACCACAGCCACCACCATCACCACCACAACAACCCACCACCACCACCACCGCTACCACAACCCACCACCACTACCACCACCACCACCAAAATCTGCCACACCGCCACCACCACCACCGCCGCAACCACCCCCATCACTACCAGCAGCACAACCCACCACCACCACCACCACAAACCACCACACCACCACCACCACCACCACCACCACCACCACCACCACAAACCAACATACAACCACCACCACCACCATAACCACAACCCACCACACTAGCACCACCACCACCACCGCCACAACCAACCCCGCACCACCAGAACAACCTGCAATCACAACCACCACCACAAATCACAACAACACCACCGCCACCACCACCACCACCACCACGACCTTCACAACCCACCACTATCACCACCGCCAGCACCACCACCACAAAAAATCACCACACCACAACCACACCATCATCGCCACCACCAGCACCACCACCACGACCCACCACCACCACCACAAACCACCACACCACCAGCACCACCACCACAACAACTACCACCACCACCACCACCACCCACCACCACCACAACCACCACCACCACAACAAACCACCACACCACCACCACCACAACCATAACCACCGCCACCACAACCACCACCACAACCCACAACCACAACCACCACCAAAACCACCACCAAAAGAAACCACCACACCACCACCACCACCACCACCACCGCCACCACCACCACCACAACCCACCACCATAACAACCACAAGAACCACCACCACCACCACAACCACCACGACAAACCACCACACCACCACCGCCACCACCACGACCACAGCCCACCACCACCACAATACCACCACCACCACCACCACCAGGAACCACCACACCACCACCACCACCACCGCCACCACCACCACCACCACCACCAAAACCTGCCACCACAACCACCACGACCACCACCACCACCACCACCACCAACAACCACCACGACCACCACCACCACCACCAACACCGCCACAACCACCACCACCACCACAGCCCACCACAGCCCACCACCACCACCACCTCAGAGAGGCCCCAAGAGACGCCCAAGAGGCGCCCAGGAGGCTTCACAAATGCCCTTCAAAGAAGGCCCTCGAGAGCCATCCGACGAAACCCCAAGAGGCATCCATAAGGACTCTGACCCAAAACCAAGGCACGGTGGCGGAGCGTC